TGTTAAAATAGAAAAGATTTTGAATGAAACAAGTGTTCTTTTAAATATCAGAAGTCAAATAAAAGGCCTTTATTTGTATGCAACAATAAGAATGGGTTTACATGTATATAGAAAAGGGAGCCAATTAAACCTTCAGCTATTGTCCTTGGGTGTCCTTGAAGTTACCAGTAGCAAACAGATCCTTCAGAAGCAAGTGCATCTATTGATTTTTGAATTGCTGACTATGCTATTATTTGTTTTCAGAGGCTTCAAGCATATGACTCTTGAAAATTAAAATAGAGTGGTCTAATTGGTTTATTATTTTTCCTCTTTGTCACATTATACAGTTTTCTACTTTGCCCACATGGATTCCATGAAACCAGTTTTGAATTTTACAACATGGAGACTGGGGACATTCTTCCTGATCAAGGGAAATGTTTGTATAGGCCACAGAACAGGTGTCTTCTCAGTGAGCTATCATTTTTTTAAATTTTTTAATTGGTATCACTCCATGCAAGACAGTAAATCCACTAAAACACAAGAAGTTACAAGATGTGGAAGAATTAAGAACAGAATCAGGGAGAGAAAAGAGTAATCAGGAGGACAGTAGATAGTGATTGACATCACATTTAAATTTTGGCAGATTAAAATTGGCTGGAAAGCATGGAGCCAAAAGGGAGTTCCACAAGCTAGAAGTGCAAGAAAAGAAACTGGTAGCAAAAAACTTATGGCTAAATTTAGCTAGGTCAAATGTCAATTAATGATGCCAGTCTATTACTACACTTAAATTCATCGAGTCTAGGTACCATAAGAAAGATCTCATCTGAATAATTACTATGAAAGTATTTATAAAAAAAGGAATAGTGAAGAAACCTTATGGTGGTTGGTAAGTGACTGAAGCTGAGCCAATAATAATTTACAGGCAAAGCATTCAGATTTATCAACAGAGGATGATAACACCTCAAATTAACAATTTTGTGGTAATAATTTACATCTACTAGTTCAGCATTCATTCCCCAGTTGTACTTTCATTAGTTCATATTCATTTTATTATTATAGTAGGGTGAATATACAGGTAGTGTAATGGTTATCAGGGTGGAAAATATCAAACCTAAATCAAATTCTGTCTGAGTTTATTGCATTCACTTTCACCCTTGGGAAATGTATGAATCCATCTTTTCTCTTCCCACTCAGCCATGGGTCAAATAGCAGACCAGATTGGACTCTCAAGGCTTAGCTGGCAGTCTAATAGACTACTTTGAAATCAAAACTGAGAGGAAGACAACAGAAAACTGCTCCACCATCTTTCCCAAGAAATCACTGCAATTCATATATTAAAAAAAAAAAAGAATTTTTGGATGGTCATGATTATTTGGATCCTGAAGGTTCATGTTATTTGAAAAAAAGCTATTGGAGCGCTCTTTGTCTGATACTAACTCTGACTATTTCTATTCAGCACGATGTGATAGCAAGGTCATTATGATTAGTAAGACATTTATAAAAACCACTAACGCATAAGGGTTTTATTTATTTTTTTTTACAGTGTGGTTCACCATGTACAAGGCCTGGAGGCCTCTTGAGTTAGAGGATTACAGAGTAAGATGCATTTAATGTGTATAGGAGGGGAAAATAACAGTTATCCCTTGAATTGAATAGATTCAGATTGTTTTTTATCAGGTAAGAACTCCTCTTGGATACTGAACCTGAGAGAATCAGAGATGACAATAAAAGAACAGGATTCAAGGAGACATGATGATATATGGCAGGAAAATCAAGAAGTTGGAAAGAGATTTCTACTGGTGAGGAGGGAGAAGAAACTATTTACATAGAACATACATCTAGAAGTTTCAGCAATACAAAAATGAGACCTAACTACCAATCTATTACCATGCTTAAATCCATAAAGCTGAAGTACCAAAGAGGGAAAGTAATATTTATTTTGAAAAATACAAAAATGTGACACAAGCCTCAGAGTGGGGAAAGGGGAAGGCTAGTCTTCACCCTGAAATAGTTACCATGAAAATATTTATAGAAAGGACACAGGGAAACTGTTATGACAGTGAGAAAGTAAGTGAAACTGAAATGTCACCTCAAGAATGATAACATTGAAGATTCATCTCTAAACTTTTACTAGAATTTTTAAATATATAGCAGAAGCAACATACCAGATGTGGCAGCAATATACGATGTATGAACAAATGTTAGATTTATAAATGTGCATAGATTCTGATGAGTAAAACACGTTACACAGTTTTACTCATCAGAATCTATCTGAAATACCCACTTTCTTAGCAGTAATCTTAGCAATTAATTCAGTATGTTTATTCCACTTCATGTCAGTAGAAAATGTTAGCCCAAGAAGGTGCAAGGAGTTACTCTCCTGGAGGTTAGCATCAGCCATGTTGATGGAAGGCAAAAGAAGTTCTCTTGGATAATTAAAAGAGAGCAGTTTTGGAAGTCATTTAAACTAACAAAACATTTCTTTTTTCAGTTTATTTTCTACAAGTATCATATATGTGTGTGTGTGTGAAAAGTGTATATAAATAAATATATATATGTATAATTATTTATATATTATATGCGCAGTACTTATTAGAAAGCGCTCAATATCAGAGATAGAGCTAACATATTTGGTTGGATAGATTTGTGAGTTTGTGACCCTGGGTTTCACGCTTTAGCGATCGTCAGACAAACTGTTTGGGTTTGTCTTACGATCACTAAAGCATGAAAACCAGGGTCACAAACTCACATCTATCCATATATATATAATATATATATATATATATATATATATATATATATATATATATATAAAAATAATTTCAGATTGGTGTCACATAGTAATGTCTGTAAGACAGAAAAAATTTAGTTCAACTGAGATCAAAAACAACCTTCTTATGGAATGTATTTTAAAATAGACAAGATTTCAGTTAGCAAATTCAAATGATTCTACTCCTGAAGTGAGTATTTACTTCTGTTAAACTTTGCCTTTTATATATATATATATAATGTTCTCTCCCATAGTCTTCAAGGTATGATGGTCCAACAGCTCAGTTCTTAGAAACAAACTCCCAGAATACCTGTGCTGACTTATGCCAAACCAACCACCCAAATACAGAGAATCAGTGTACACACTTTGCTACAAGGTCTCCAAACGACCTTCCTCAGGTTTTGGAATTTAGAGTTGTGCTTTTCCAAGAGTCCAGTCTTCCTTAATAATTAACCCATTGCTAGGGTAGTTGAAAGGATGGATTCATAACTTTCCCAAGGGTATTTGCATATTGTTGAATGAAACAAACTCAACTAGTATTCGATTTCCCATTCTGAGCCACTATCAATTACACCATCCAAACATCCATTGAAATTCTGGGTTTGAACATCCCATTCTGTTACTGTTGAAGGGGAAATATCTTATTCATGTGGGAAGTCACTTCACTCATCTTATAGAACATTGTCCTCGGTATTAACTCATTGGCTGTCACTCACCATCCAATATTGTTATTTGAAGGTTTGATGAAGAAATAATGAAAACAGTTGAACACAAAAAAAATCCAACCAAACTTTTATTTATTTGTCTGTCTGTGTTCTCTCACTCCTAGCACCAAGACTGCCAAAAGCAATATCACTGCTGTTCTTGCCCAAGGAAATCAATCGTATGCTTATGTTTTGCTTTATTACAACTCACTGGTGTTTCTTTAAGAAGTCAAATACTCTCTTCTCTATTTTTTATTTTATTTGCCTTGTACCTTTCAAGAAGGTCGATCTCCAACCATTTTCAGGCAACATTAGCAGCAGAAGATGAATAGAAATTTGATTTTCTTTCTTTTTTTTTTCTGATAGTTCTATCTTTTTTTACCTTTGATTTGCCACCACTGCTTACTTCGTCTGATGCTGATTTCTTTATATTCTTTTTAGTATGTGCCTGAAACTGTATAAAAACATGATTCAACAATTGATCTCTGTCAAAGTTGACCAAAAAAGGTTGCTGTTTCTACAGCTGCTACATGGATATTATGATTGTTTTAATCCTTAAACATAGGAAAAAGGTTGCACGAATGTGCATGACAAATTGGCAAAAATACGTTAAAATACGTTTTTTTATAGAGTAATTTTTATGTTTTTCATTTTTTAAAAGCAAACATAAATTATGGAAGAAAATGATATATATATTTTTATATACCAGAACAATGTTATTTTCTTTCTATGTGACCTTTCAGAACGTAGGCGATCATGGCTCTCCACCTCCCTCTATTCCTTGCAGCTCACCACAAATTCCTTCCATCTGCCACCTCCCCCAGATCATATTTTCTCATCCACTTGCATAAGGCCGCTAGGTATGTCATGTGTTGTTTTCCCTTGTCTCTCTTTCCCTATGTTCAACCCATGAGTATCAGATTCTCCAGGCCCTCCTTCCTCATTATGTGTCCTAAAAACTTTAGCTGCCTCTTTTTGATGTTAAGTAAAAGCCTACTCCTTGTTTGCATCCTCTCTAAGACCTCATTGTTGCTCATACACTTGGTCTATGATATCCTTAGCATCCTTATGTAGAACCATATCTCCATCTCCTCAAGTCTCTTCTTCATCTTTTAGGTAATTGTGCAACATTCGCTGCCAGAAAGAAGGATGATTGTCATGTACAGCTCAATATTCTTTTCTTCATTATCAAAGAAATCTTCTAATCTTGCAATACTCTGCCCAGATTTTGGAATGTGTCCTTGGCCATTCCATTATGTCTATGGATCTCAGTGTTGCATTTACCATCTTCTGACAGAACACTTCCCTGACATTTAAACTTCCACATCTGCTTGATTCTAGCGTTCCCAGCCTACAAATTACAATTCGGGTTCATCCTTTTAAAAAAAATTAATTAGTGGAAAAAGAAATTTTCATATGACATGTTTCTTTTATTAGAACTTCATTGAAATAAAGTGATATTTACATTAATGTAACTACACATGCACACAAAAGAGAGAGAAGCTGCTTCTTTAATAAAAAAAGGGACATGCCATGGACAGGACTTACAGCCACATCATGTTGAAACACCGGTTCTCATGTGATCACCAAAGTTAAGCAACACCAAGCCTGGTTAATACCTAAATGGGTGACCACTTGGGAATATCAGGTGCTGTAAGCTTGGATGTGCAAAGGTGTAATAGATAATGATACAGAATTCTTAATCAGAGACCTGAATTTCAATTCCAGTTGGGTTCATTATATATATTTACAGGCAAATACCCTTGAAAAAGATATGAATTTACCTCTTCTCCCCTATCTATGGGTTAATATAGCTACCCCCACAAAAATGCCAAAAAAATCAGCATACCATAAGGAAAATATTCTCCAAATGTAATAAAAACAAGGTTTTAATGTTAAAATCATTGTTATTATTAAGAGGAAAGAGCAAAGTATTTTTTTAATGTTTTACTCCTTTTTAGAACACTAGAAATTTTGCTTTAAAAACTTGTTTTTTTTTTTGTGTCAATGGTTGTACTAGCATAGCAAATTTTCACCTCTTTGTTGTGGTGACAGACACATTAATTTGAAAATTCTTGCAAAACTCAAATAGTCAGATTTTAGTGAAATTTTAAGGACTTATACACAAATGAATGAAATTATTTTTTAATTTTTTTTATTAGAAAATCTCGGTAAAAATATTTTTTCTTAGATGTGTTTCTCCTCCTTACTTAATTTTATGAAAGCTTCATAAATTTGTCAATTTGTAGTGACTATGTTAGTTAAATTCAGAATTTTTTGAAGAATTTAAATCACATTTTTTTTTTTTTTTTTTTTTTTTTTTTTTTTTGTTTTTGCAAAATTCAACCCAGTCTTGCTGAAAATCTTTTCAGAACTGGAAAATAAAAAAATGCAATACGACATTATTTAATTAGAGAAGCATTTAATTGCTTTTATGAATTATATATATTAAAGACAATATTGTCTGAAGAAAAATAATTTTTATGCTGAAAAATGAGGTTTTACAAGATTTATTTTCATTTTTTTCAATTTAAAATTTTTTCAATCTTTTAAATTTCAATTTCAACGAGATAATGTTATGGAAATGTTATTAAGTAAAAATATAACTGATCATATAAATTTTAAGCTTATTATAGTCTGAAAACCGTGACTATTTTTAAAAGAATTTTGATTTGTTTTTATATATGTATATTGGTGCAGAATTTCTGAAATATGGATGTACAAACCGATAAATCTATTAATAAAAGGTCACATGTTTTAAGTGTTATCCTCCACTTACAAGGAAAAAAAGAAGTTAGTAAAACTTGTTTCACTCAATCATCATTATCTCAAAAAAATCTTACAATCTAAAAAAAGAATAATTTCTGGCTTTAAATAACCTGCAAAGGGTTGATAAGCCATAGAAAATTAATGAATCAATGAAAACATGGCATGGTACTACAATGCCACTGAATTTCTTGTTTTTTCTTTTATGTCCCTTAAAGATATGGACAATTATGGGTCTCCACAGTTTCCTTATTTCTCTTAAAAATATTTAATTTATACTATTCCTTCCACTCCTTGTTCATTTAAACAAGCATGTTAGGTATTTTACTCACTGTTTTGTCTTTTGAGTGTCAAATTCTCTGAGTCCTTTTATCTCCAGAAATACCAACCATCTCTTTCTCATTCTAAGTCTAAACATCTCTATCCAATGTATTCTCTCTCTGTAGAACCACATTTTTGTTGCTTCTTCTCTTCCTTGGTGAGAATATTGTCCTTCATTCACAGCCATATAAAGAAGGAATCATAATATTACATAGCTGTTAAGTACTATTTTCTTCGTTTCTTAGTAAATTTTCCTGTTTCTTAATATTGTTAGAAAGCAACTTTCACTATTCCAATGAACCTTTGCATTTTGGTGTCATATTTTCTATTTTCTGTTATAATGCTTCCCAAAGATTTAACTTTCCAATTTTTAGCTTCCATATTTGACTGTTCCTATTTCTGACATGTCATGGTCACTACAATGCCACTGAATTTCTTGTTTTTTTCTGTGATGTCTATATTATTCTTTCCACTTCCTGTTCATTTACACAAGCATGTTAGGTATTTTACTCACTAGCAATGTTCGACAAACAGTAGACTTAAAAATGTGCAAAGTAGATTCTGCCAAGAAAAAATTGTCTGGAATGACATAGTCAACCGACATTCCGAGCAACAGATTTAACAATCTGTTGTCTTACAATTTATGGTTAATCTTTTCTTGACACTTTTCTTTACTATTTTGTCTCTGATTTCCTGCAGGTATTTTCTCCGTGTCTGCCATCAACACTGCACCATCTGCATATCTTATTTTCTTTTATCATTTCACCATAATCGAGACTTGAATCCTGGGTATGGCGATAAACTACATCTGGCAGCAAGATTGGAGATTTTGAGGAAGCACCACTTACTGTTGTTCCCATAGTCACCCTGACTCTGGGTGGTAGCACCTCTTGTGGTCCCAGTGATGGGCAAATAGTGAACCTCTAAACTAAAACAACCCTATATGCAAGCCATCAATCTGCCACTGTGTGGCATGCCACTAGTGTTTACCACTGGTGGCCAGCTGTTGGACCACCAGCTTCGTCTCGGCAATGTTACCACTGGTGAACTTCTAAAGGCCCACCGTTGGTTGCTACCAGAGGACTGCTGGCACTGCCATCAGTGACACGCCAGCAGGCCACTAGCAGCTTGCATGGAGGGAAAACACCATGAAAGTATAAAAATACATTTTTATAGTAATATTACCAACAATACATTTTTAAAGCAAAATAACCAGCAATACATTTTATAGAATTACCAACAATACCTTTTATAGCAAAATGACCAATAATACATTTTATCTGTAGTTGAAGGCATACAGTTGTATTCAGAATATTTAGATTTCAACATTAAATAACTCATCGAGATTGGTATGCCACGAAACAAAATCAACCAAACTAATCAAAGTAATAAAAGCCACTCTGACACAAGTGGTTACTGAAAATGGAAGACACACATAAAGGTCAAAAACAGAACAGAATTCAAAGAAGCAGAAGTTGAAGATAGACATTGCATTTAAATTTTTAAAGGTCATAGTTGACAGGAAAGCAGAAAGCCAGTAGAGAATTCCACAAGCATTTATGGTTACAAGTAAGGATTTCGACGGTGAGATTATGAAACCTAGTTATCAATCTAAGATCACACTTAAATTCTTGAAGACCAGGTACCAACGAGGAAAAGCTCTTCAAAAAAATTGAAAACATTTATAGAATAGACAAAGGGAAGCTACTTTATGACAGTGAGAAAGTGACTGAATCTAAGATGCCATGTCAGGAACAATAACATTACAAATGACCCTTCATTGAATTTTGTCTAGAATCTGTAGATGTATGCAAGAAGCACTAGCAACATTCAACAAACAGTAGACTTAAAAATGTTCAAAGTAGATTTTGCCAAGAAAAATTGTCTAGAATGACATAGTAAACTGACATTTTGAGCAACAGATTTAACAATTGATTCAATATAATAATTTCACTTCATGTCAGTGGAAAATGTAAGACCAAGAACGGGCAATGAATTCCTCTCCCAGAAGTTAGCATTAGCCATACTGATGGAAGGCAAAAAAAAGGATCATTAAGATGATTAGTAGAAAGCAGTTTTATTTTAGAGGCATTATAATTAACAAGCCATTTCTTGTCCCAGTTAACATCTTTGAGATCAGCTGCCAATTTGAGTTTATTTAATATATCAGACTTACTACTTACTTGGATAAAACAAGAAGAATCATAATTACAAAGACAAAATATACTAAACACCTGAAGAAAACCAGAGAGTACTGTGGTCAAAACGTGAACATTATGTTGATAAAAGTTGTTTCCCATTTGCAATGTTATGCTTATAATCAAATATTTCTTGATATTTATATCAGAACTTTTTATTTGAAATCGATTTCCCACCCCCAGTCCATTTGTGTTGTCAAGCCCAGTTCACAGAGTTGCACTTTATAAGCAGTGCAAGAATATTTTCTTTTCGTCTTCATCAGTGGTTGTCTGAAAAATGCACACTTTGACCTAGCACTGGATAAAGTCCACAGTGACTGCTAGACCCACCAGATTTATAAAGATGAAGAGTTGGTAGAGGATCAACGTCTGAGGATTTGAATTCTAATCTGACTGAGGCTTCATCCAAATCTCCCAACCTGAACCCTTTTTCACTAATCCTTATTGCCAAGATAATCTGGCTTACCAGATTAAATGAGAGAAAAACAGCACAAAACAAGAACATTGTGTGGGTTATAGTCACTCTTGAAAAGCAAACAAAGTGTCAGTGAACAGTTCATTTGCAAAGCAGTGGACTGGAGATCATTGCGTACCAAGTTCAATCCTTCTTTCTGGACTTCAAACTTTAATTGTTATATGATTGCTATTAATGTCTGAGAAGAATAATGTGAGTAAAGTTTTCATAGATAAAATAATTGTCTAATTACTTCTGGATCTTATCTTATTAGCATTGGTTGAACAAAGGTGATGTGTTTTGGGTTGGGTTTTTTTTTTTGTATATTAAATAATCTCCTAATGAAGGTATGAGGGATTTTCATTCTCTTGATAATGACATATTGAGGAGCATCTTTCACTGGGTTTGATCAAAAATAATTATAAAATGGTAAATTCTGTACAAAGTATTTCAATATATTTTTGTGTACTTTTGGTAAATATATTTGTTAGAATGAGATGTCAGTGTTATTTTCATTTTTTCATAATTTAGAAAACCATTTATCCATATATATATATATATATATATATATATAGAGAGAGAGAGATAATTATTTATTTTAAATAAATAATTATATTTATGCTCTACTTTTGTATCAAGCACTATTTTTTGAAAATAGTAACTGAAATACTAAGGAACTTTGGATTATTTACCTAACCTGTTCTTTCCTATTTTCTATATATTTTCATATATATATATATAATATATATAGAGAGAGAAATAGATATGAAGAAATATAGTCTTAAGATGTGCTATATTTATGAGATAAAGTGCTCAATATCAGAGATAAGCGTGTGTAAATATAAAAGTAAACATAGAAGTCAACACTTAGAGATGACAGTCTATTTCATGCTAGATGCAATCGTCAGGCCATGATTGC